CAGGCTGAGGGGGTGGGGTGGTCTCTCTGTACCAGTCCCCTCATTGTCTCCTTGACTCCTCTGTGTCAGCTGGGGAGTCAGTGTTGGTCTTGGGGTTCCCTTGCTGTGAGTCATCTTTCTCTTGCTGCTTCCAGATTTTCCCCTTGTCTTTCAGCATTATTACTGTGATGTGTCTGGGTAGTTGAGGGTTTTCTTTCTTTTTTTGAGTGTGCAGCTGGAGGGGCCGGGGTGGGGGGGGCGAGAGAATCCGAAGCAGGCTTCGTACAGAGCAGAGCCCCACACAGGGCTCTATTTCATGCCACCCAGATGCTCCGAGGTTTACTTTTTATCTCACCTTTACCCTACCTGTTTTCCAATTTCCACATGAACACACGGTCGCTTGTGAGAAAAAGCTTTGAATAGATAGCCCCATGCCAGTCACACCTCAACATGATCTCTTGGAGAACTTGGGAGAGATGGGAAGCTGAGGCCTGGGGAGAGGACACCACGCGTTTGAGTCCACAAGCACTGGGGACTCGGTGGAGAACTGCTCCCTCCACCCACCCTTCTCCTGGTTCTAGCAGGCCAGTGGCATCCAGATGCCTGGTGTTGTCTCCCCAGCCCAGGCCCCTCGATGACGCCCGCAGCCCAAGCCCATGTCGCAGACACTGAGGTCAGGAGAGGCCACATGAGGGAGGAGTCAAGTACTTCTATCGAAGATGCCAGCAGCTAGCAGGACTCCACATGGACTGAGGACTCCGGGGCGGACAGACAGCACCAGGACAGGGATGAGCAGAGGGCTCACAGCTACGAGCCTCACACACTTCAATGACCAGTACCTACCAAGCACTGTCCAAAGGCTGGGGCCCTGGACCCCGCTGTGGCTCACCAGCACGGGGCACATGCATTAGATGGCCATCAGTGCTATGGATAAAAATAACCCCAAGGTGGAGGAAAAGCTACAACTTCTAATGGACAGGTCAGGAAAGAACTCAGGTTCAGGTGACATTTAGCAGGTGGGAAGCACCTTCCAGGGGGAGGAACAGCAAGTACAGATGCTCTGAGGCACACCGCCTGGTAGGGTGGAGGTCAGCTCAGGCAGCCGTGGCCAAGGGCCCGCTTCTCATTTGCAGAGAGAACCGTGGGAGGGTTCTCAGCAGGCTTAGAGCCACTTGACTTAGTTCCAAAAGGCTGCCTCTCCATCTGGGGCAAGAACAGACCCAAGTGGGGCAAGAGTGGAGGCTACTCCGAGTCCAAGCAAGACAGGTTTCTTTCAGAAAAAGGTCAGGTTCCCATGAGGACTGAGGAAAGCTGGGAGGAAGGGCCTCCTCCATCCCCATCTCCGCGTCCGGGCAAGCAAGGGCAGCCCCTGGAGGCAGGGGTCTTGTCCCAAAACAAGGCCTGTGGAGGCAGATGCCCTTGGCCACAGAAATCTGGTGTGGGGACGCAGAGCAGGCCGCAGTCTCAGGACATGGTCTCCAGCACGGTAGGGACCAGGGAGGCGTCTTTTCAAAGCGGGATCCGTCACCCGCGGAATGCTGGCTGGCACGCGGCAGGCATGCAGGAAAACGGGCCAGAGCAGGGACAGTGGAGAATCTTTGCCCACAGGAGCCTTCGTGACTTCATCTGTCAAGTGGGGCATGTGGGGCATGTGGGATGAGATGGGCCAAGTACACAGGCGTGCATGAGCACGTGCGACCGCGTGCAACTGAGTACCTTCTAGAAGACAGCACTCGGTGTACCAGGCACTTGCCATGTGCAGCCCCTGCTCAGCTCTTTGCTTCCTTTAACCCACGGACTTCTGCCAAGAGCACAGAGAAGTCCTGGTCCATGCCCAGAGCCACCCAAGTAGTGTCCTTGGTGGAGAGGTATGACCCATGAGCCATTACCAGTTTTAATACCAGAAGGGAGGCAGGTAAGGGGTGAGTGAGCAGGAAACCCAGAGAACCTATTCTAGCCCCCAAGGATGGCAGACAGGGGTCGTCTGGGGTAGATGGGGTGTGGGGGGGCACCACTGAGGAGTGGCCAGAGCAGCACTGCTCTGGGGTCCTGGAGGCACTGGGGAGGGCTGAGACCTGACGGCACACAGGAGACGGAGCCAGGAGGGACGGGGCACTCACACTCTGTCCAGCAGGACACAAACAGGTGGCGCCCAGGTTCCTACCCAGGAACAGGCCATTTTAACAGCCTGGACCTGTGAGGACTCTAGACCTGCGCCTGTGCCCAAGACCAGCGGCTCCCAGTTCACACTGGGAGCGTGGTACCCTCCTGCCCCACAGCTGTCCGCCCCTCTCCTGCGGACCGGGTTCTCAATCCCCGAAGGAGGCAACCCCAACCTGCTTCCTGCTTCCGTCTGTCTCCAGGCCACGCCCCTCCCCCAGCCAGGTCCACAGCCCAATCCCAGAGCACGAAGCCCCCCGCCCCCAGCACATCCTTTCACATGCACAGGCCCCACGGCACACGCTGCATGGGGCGCAGACCCTGGCCAGGATGCCCAGCCCTTAGGTATGGGCTCTCAGGGGTCTTTCTTGAAGTGGTCACGTGTCCACCAAGAGCCTGGGATCGTGAGGACCGTAACAGAGGAGGCCGCTGACACGCACACACGTGTGCACGGGTCACCCCTAATGCAAGGACCCAGGCCGCGCCCCATCCCCAGGGGCGGGAATGCTGGGACAGAGCGGCCCTGACCGGGAGCTGCACGTGGGGGCACACGGTGACACGCAGGCACACACGCGGGGCAAGGCCAGGGCGGCAGAGGGAGGCCCAGGTGAGGAGGCCAACTGCTTTATTGCTCTGGAGGTGGGGCAGGGGCTCAGGAGCTCTTGGTGGGGCGGGCCCGCTTCCTCTTCACCATCACGGGCTTCTGGCTGCGCAGGATGGCACTGGCTCTGCGAATGGCCGCCTGGGGACAGGGAGGAGGCTCAGCGCGCCGCCCCGTTCCCGAGCGTGGGGCCGGCCGTCAGCAGAGACCCTCCTCGCGAGCCACCCTCAGCCGGCCCCACTCACCATGCGCAGATCCGGGCGGTACTTGTTCTTGCGGATCATGTGCCGGACACTGCTGAGGGTGGCCCTGGCGTTCTTGTTGATGGTGGTCCGCACGTAGGAGGTGGCAGGTTTCCGCTGGCCTGGGGCGGGGGCGGGGGCAGGGGTCCAGGGCTGAGTGTGACGGTGCGTTCTCGCCCCCGCGCGGGGAGCCTGGGCAGGCCCCTCTGCGCAGCCGGCCCCACCCACGCCCGGCCCTGCACCCTGAGGTGGGTCCTGTCCTGTGTCCCTGCCGGGAGACTCTCGCCGCTTCTCAGAGAGCAAAGCGGAAGCAACGGAAGGAGGGCTCTCGGCCAAGGTCAGAGGCACGGCCGGCCCCACCGGCTGCCCGGGGACTGCAGCGCTGGCCTCTTCCCGCCCACCCTCCAGGGCCCAAGCCAGCCCGCCTGGAGCAGGCACCTGACGGAGCCGGAGGCCTGGCCCGGGGGCCGGAGAGCCAGGAGGAGTGCGCTAAGGCCAGGGAGAGGGAGAGCCCTGCGGCAAGCAGTCCCCAGCCGTGCACACGGGGGCCCGGCCCTGCCGACCCGGACGAGGGACCCGGACGAGGACACGAGGCCGAAAGCCGCCTCCTCGTGCGCAAGACTGCGGGCCTCACTCAGGATGTGAAGTGCGCCCCACCTGGGGGTCCTGGCGCGTCCTGGACCCCCGGACGGCGGACGAGGAAGAGCGCACCCAAAGCAAGGGCCCTTCCCCGGACCCGTGACTTCCAGCCCCGGCCTGCGCTGAGCCGACCCCAGACCAAGGGCACGGTCAGTCTGGCTCCCAACAGCCCAGGGGAGGCAGCACCCACCCGAGAGGCGACGAGCTTTCAGGGCCCCGAGCCGCGCAACGGGCTCCCGGAGCAGCAGAACCCTGAGAGCTCGCTGGCGAGCCGGCGGGGAAGGTAACCCCCACCGGGCGCGCAGGAGTCCACCGGAGCCACCAGGTCACCCTCCCGCCACGCAGCGCAGGAGGCGGGGCCCCACACCCGAACGGGGACCAGGACAACCCCCAGCGGAAGTCAAAGGCCCTGGGGCCGCGCTCGCCCACTCAGCCGGCGCTGCCTCCGGAGCTCCCGGGGCCGCGCGGCCTCTCAGACACCAAGAGCCCGTCCAGTGGGGCCGGGCGGCCGGGGCGCTCCTGGACGCACAAGCGGGCCGGGGTCCACCTGCCCCCGGCCGGCGCGACCGTCCTTACCAGTGGGAGCCGGGGCGACCCCCACGGCCGGACGCGGACGGCTGCCTGCCCCTGAGCCGGCGCAAGGGCTCCCCGGGCTGATGCTCCACCCCGGCCCCTCCGCAGCCCCCTGCGGCCCGAGGCCGGGCGGGACCGAGCGGGGCCCGCGGGTGCTCACCGGCTCTGCGCTTCATGACCACCACCACGCCCTTGCCGTCGGCCGCCGGCTCCACGCCCACGGTCTTGCGGTGAATCAGCCCGTTGTAGCGGAACGAGTTGCGGGCTTTCAGGTTGTTGGGCTCCTGCGGAGGAGGGCGCGGCGGGGCCGTGAGGCGGGGACGCGGCCCGGCGACCGCGGCGGGCGGGGCGGGCGCGCATCCCCCGGGGCCGGCGCGCGGGCCCCACTCACAGTGCTGTAGGTCTGCTTGTTCCTCTTGATCAGGAAGCTGGAGCAGTTCCGCACGACCATCCACTGCAGGTGGGCCGACATGGCGGCGGCGGCTGCGGGAGGAGCGGCGGGGCGGCGGTCAGGGCGCGCGGCGGGCCGGGGGCGGGCCTCGCGGCCGCACCCCCGCGGCAGGGGCAGGGGCAGGGGCGTGACCGCGGGGGTCCCCGCAGCGCGCGGCGGGGTCGGGGGGCGGCCAGGGACACGAGGGGCGCGGCGACAGACGCCAGACAAAGCCAGAGGCCCCGGGCCTCGGGCAAACGAGACGACCACGCGGTCGACAGACAGCCGCGCGCTCACCTCCTCTCGCTAGCGCAGCCGGAGACGGAAAGAGACAAGCAGGAGGCGGGACGACGACTTTAATATCCACACGCATTTCCGCTTCCTGTGTGGGCACGCGCAAGGACTCGCCTGTCCCCGCCTCCTCCCGTCCGCCTGCGAGCCGGATCGGTAACGTTCGGCTGCTTCCGCCAGCCGGTCGCCAACCGCTCGGAGGCCTTCGGAACTGTTCGGCTAGTGACCCCGGGGCGTGTCCTCGGAGGCGGAGCACCCCCTTTCGAGGGCCCTTCGTGTGTTTCCGGAAGTGCAGCGCTGGATTTCCGAGTAGGTCCAGTTCGAGAGACCCTAAGTCCCTTTCCGAAGGGGTTTCTCTCCAGGGCTGCTCACCAGCGCTTGGCACAGTATAGGTGCTCCATAAGTATTTGTTTTACGTCTGAACGTGCGGATGCGTGAGTTACTTAAGGCCAGCTCCAGGGTCTCCGGATGCTTCCGGTCTTCTTCGCGAGCTCTCGGCTATTCCCGACGAATGCACAGAGGCCCGCTCGGGCATTTTCGCAACCCTTCGGAGACGCCCTCCCGGGTCTGTTCGGAAACACTCGTTTTCCTTCGGGCCACGTTCGGAAATCTGCGGCTGATGCGGGTAGATTGGGGTCGCCCTCGGCAGGCGATCTCAAACGCTTTAGTCTGGAGAAAAGCTGGACGTAATCTTCTAGCGGACTGACCCCCCCTCCGCCCCAGGAGGGCGTCGGTTCCCCCCGAGGGCGAATCGTTTGGAGGGGGAGGGATTTGCCTTAAAAGCTCTTGGTTCCTTAGGGGGCCGCATCTGTTGGCCTCTGCCCCGTCCCCTCTACCCCCAGTCCGCCCGCAGTCGCACCCCTTAAACTCTCTTGTTTTCTGTTGCCACGGCCCTCTTCAGGGGCAGGAGCCCCGCCTGATGAACCCCGGGTCCTCGGCCTCAACAGCAAGGGGCTGGGCGCTCGGGGGTGGGGGTAGGGGCTCCGGAAACCCCGGCTCACCAAACGGAACGGCCATGGCCTCTGTCGCCCCCGCGAGTGCAGCTGGACCTGGGACTGTGTCCGGGAACTCCATGAGGTCCCCCTCCGTGTTCTGGGGCTTCGCCCCTAGGGAATCCCGGCCGTCCAGAGGCATTGGGAGAAGCCTGGGGGCCCGCCCCGCTGCCCGCACCATCGCCCCCAGGCCCGACGGGGTTGCGCTCAGGGCCGGGAGTTCCATCACCTCCCAGGGGCGCACGGGCCGCCCCAGGGGACCGGCAATGAGGGAGAGAAATCTCAGCTCCCGAGAGCCCCGTGTTTCCTCCATTAGGGCGCCCTGCCCGCTAACTCCGGCGTCCCGGGGCTCCGGGTCCAGGCGTCTTGTCTGGTCCTTGTTTTTTGACCCCACCTGTCCCCACCGCGGGGCCTGGGGCGCAGAGGGCCCCGCAGGCAGGCGCTGAAGAGAAGCAACGTCCGGGCTCCCGCAGCACCCCACGCTGCCTCCATTAGGGCACCCTGAATTTTGAATGTGTTCCTTCGCGCTCCTTGGGGTGCGTAAGGCCCCTCCCACCCTTATCCGGGAGCCCGGCTGCCCCCTTCAAGGCCTCTGAGGGCCAGGACGTGCCCAGAAACCAGGGCCGGGGCATCCCCCGAGTCGGGCCCGTGTGCACCCCAGCCAGCTCAGGTGACCAGGAGGGCGCCGGGCACACCTGGCGCCGTCCCCTGACCCCGCCCCGGGCCGCACCCCGGAAAGCTCTCTGGGGGAGCCAGCGCGGCGCAGCAGGGCCATGGCAGCGGCGCCAGCGGTGGGCGTCCCGCAGGGGCCCCCCCCGGGGGCACCGTCCCCGCCGGCCGGCGCGCCGGGGCCTGCGTCCGGCCTGGGCCGCTGCCGGATGGCGCTGCTGCTGGCGGTGGCGCTGGACGTGGCGGGCATGGCGGCGCTGCTGACCGGCGTGTTCGCGCAGCTGCAGGTGCGCGGCCGCGACTTCGGCGACCTGCTCATCTACTCGGGCGCGCTGCTCGTCTTCCTGAGCCTGCTCGGCTGGATCCTCTGGTACACCGGCAACATCGAGATCTCGCGCCAGGAGCTCGAGCGCGACTACGGCCTGCGGCCCTCGGCGCTCGCCCGCCTGGCGCGCAAGCTCTCCCGCCGCTGGTCTGCGCCGGCCTCCTCCTCCGGCCCGCGCGCCGCGCCCGGCTCTCTGGGAACGCGCCGTGCCGCCCGCGCGCCCCCGCCGACCACCGCAGGCTCCCGCCGCGTGCGCCTGCAGCTCGCTACGCTCGAGGCCGGGCCGGGGGCGGCGGGCGCGGGCACCGAGTGAGCCCGAGGTGAGGGGTGGGGCAGCGAGTGGGGCGGCAGGAAGAGGGAGAGAGCTGGAGAGGTCGGGGGGAGAGCTGGAGACTCGGGGTTCGGGGGAGATAAAGAGACAGGAGAGGAGCTGGAGAAACGGGAGGAGAGAGAGGCAAGGGGGAGAGCTGGAGAGACAGGGGGAGAGCTGGAGACACGGGGTGGGGGGGAGATAGGGGAAGAGCTGGTGAAAGGGAGAGCGATGGAGAGACAGAGGGAGAGATGGACAGACAGCTGGGAGAGATGGAGAGACAGGCCAGAGATGGACAGACGGGGGGAGGGGGGAGATGGACAGTGGGGAGAGATGGAGTGGGAGAGAGCTGGAGAGACAGCAAGAGAGGGGGAGAGCTGGAGAGACGGAGGGAGAGGGGGAAGGAGATGGGGTGGAGATAGAGGAGAAATGGAGAGATAGGGAGGGAGACTGACAACAGGGAGGGGAAAACAAAGGACCAGATCAAGAGTAGAGTAGCAGGGCCCAGAGGCTGGAGCCTTGGACCGCAGGCATGAGTGCAGATTTGGAAGAGACAAAGAGACCTTGCCCCCCAGTTGAGGCCTAGAGAGTCACTACTCGCTCGCCCCCCACTTAGAGACCCTGCTCCGCACTCCAGCCCCCAGGGGCACCAGGTCCCTTTTAATCCTCTCACTGTAACTGAGTTTCAGGGGCCACCGCCAGTACCGTCCCCATTCCGGGGGGAGGACACCGAGGCCCAGAAAGGTACCATCTCTTGTCCGAGGGCACACAGCTAGGATTCTTCTAAGAGTGAGGGAAAGAGCAGAACACCAGGAGTGTGAGACCCCGGAAAGGAGCTACTGCGCATCCCTTTCCTTTTCTCTCTCCTCTGTTTTCTCTCCTCTTTCCTAAACACACACTCTCCGGCTTGTACTCCTTTGCTCAAATTTCTGCTGTGGCTCCCTGTTGCCCTCTGATTAAAACCCCTGCCACTCCCTGGGCCCCACAGGTTTCAGCCCCACATCTCCTTCCTTCTTTGGGTTATGGTGCCATCCCTCAGTGCACGGACAGCCAGGCTGTCTGAAGTCAGCTGGCCTCTGTTTGTCACCTCCCCTACAGCAGGAGTGCCCTTGCCAGCTGTGCTCTACATGGAAAACGTCCCATGTGCCATTAGCTCCAACTCAACTCTCTGCCTTTCTCTGGGTCTTCACAGTGTCTGAGTTACCCTGTTATTGCTTGTTATGTGTCTTGTGGGGTCTGTGTGCTGGTTTTCTCTCTCCCGCCGGACAGGGAGCATCCCGCTGGTAAGGCCTGGGTCTCCGGTGCCTTCATTCTTAGCATCGCCCCGCAAGCAGTAAGCTCAGGAACTCAGAGAAGGGTGATTGGGTTGGTGGGTGGATGCGTGGACGGACGGATGGGTTGTTTGACTAGTGGATGGATTGGCTGTCGGATGGCTGGACGGACTGGTGAATGGATGGGAGGATAGAGGGATGGATGTTCAGTGGGTGGGTGGATGGATATGGTTAGATTGAGGAATGGGTACAATTCATCAGAACCGGTGAGTGGGTGGTTCGGGCACGTAGATGGGACGGTAGATGAAAGAATGGTTGGGTTGACCCATGGATGAACCGAGAGGAGGAACAGCGTCAACAACGGATGAGTGACTGACCCAGTTTCTCAAATGGGAGTTCCCTAAAAAACTTAAATCCTGATGTGCTAAGACCTCTGTATGTGAAGAATTGAGCTGTTCTCCTATGGATCCTGAATGTGCTTCTTTGTGAAAACAGAGAATAGTCCCTCCCATCCTCTGCCGTGCTCTGCAGCTCAGAGGAGGAGATGGGTTTAAGACGAGATGCATTCTCCCACAAAAATCAGGCCGAGAGTTGTAGAACCACCTGCCAGCAGTGAGAGTCCTTTACCTTGCCCAGAAGTCTAACACAGCTGGGCAGATCTGCTGGAACTACCTGCCAGAAACTTGGGCCAAGCCAACTGGTGTGTGGGCCCCTCTTCGAAGGAAGACGGGCCTGTTCGTTCGAACAGGGGACTCCTCAGTGGGCGGAGTCAAGGGCTTCCAGCACTCGAGGGCCAGAGAACTTGAATTTTTTTTTTAAGATTTTATTTATTTATTTGACAGACAGAGATCACAAGTAGGCAGAGAGGCAGGCGGAGAGAGAGAGGAAGGGAAGCAGGCTCCCTGCTGAGCAGAGAGCCTGATGCGGGGCTCGATCCCAGGTCCCTGGGATCATGACCTGAGCCAAAGGCAGCGGCTTTAACCCACTGAGCCACCCAGGCGCCCCTTGAATTTTTTTTTTAAAGAATTTATTTATTTGAAAGAAAATAGAGAGCCTGAGGTGGGGGAGGGTCAGCGGGAGAAGCAGGCTCCCCGCTGACCGGGGAGCCCAATGCGGGACTCCAGGATCAGGACCTGAGCCCAGGGCAGTTGCTTAGCCAACTGAGCCACCCAGGCACCCCGGAAAACTTGAATTTTAACACAGGGACCTGGAGATTTTGGCCCGGGTCCCTCCCTCCTCCCTCTGAGACCAAAATGAATGGAGTCGACAGAGCCACCAGCAGCAGCCACTGCCAGGTTGTGTTTTCTTTCTCTGTGTCTGTCTGTCTGGGTCTCCTGTGTCTCTCTGTCTCTCTGTCTCTCAACCCCTCTACATGTCTTCGTCTGTCCTCGCCGACTTTCCTCTCATTCTCCAGCTTGTGCCGCTGGCCCCCAGGGAGGCAAGTACGCCGGCCCAGGTTGGCGGTAGAGAGATGAAGGAGCGACCAAGCAGGAGTGTGAGTCAGTGTACCAGGGGCCAGAGCGGCAAGAAAGGGCTCCCTTCCCTTGCCCCTCAGGCCGCTGGTGGTGAGCCCCGGGAACACGTGGTCCCTGGGAGAGGTCCCGCACAGCCACTAACCCTGTTCTTCCTCCTGCAGACAGCCCCACGGCCCCACCTGTGAGGACGGGACTGCGTGTGCAGCTGCACCCACCACCATCTGGGCCACCAGGATGCCTGCTTGTCTGCCCCTGTCCTCTCTCGGATAAATGGCTCTGCCTCCTAGCGCCGTGTGTCTGTCTGGGAGAGGGACAGTACTGGGGCCTGGCCACACCCACAGAGGGGCTATCCACGCCCTTAGGGACCTTGGAGCCCAGCTGCACACAAGCCTCTCATGGAGGGGGGTGGGAGAGTGGCACCAGGACCTTGAACCCAGACCTCTCCCCGCCGGCCCACACCCCTCTGTTGGTATGGGGGTCCTCTGAGAAGCAGACAGAGGGACAAATGAGACTCGCCAGGTATTTATTGGGAGGAAGTACCTTAAAAAAAAAAAGAGAGAGAGAGATTTATTTATTTTAGAGGGGGAGGGGCTGTGGGAGAGGGAGAGAAAGAATCTCCAGCAGACCCCGGCCAAGCAAGGAGCCCGGCAGGGGGCTCGAGCCCACGACCCTGAGATCGTGGCCAGACCCGAAATCAAGAGTCCGCACCTGCTGAGCCACCCAGGTGCCCGGGAAGGAAGTACTTGTAGAGGGGACCTGGTACGGAGTATGCCTGAGGAAGGCCCGAGGGCTGGGCAGGACAAGTCTTGTACCGTAGGCGCTTTCTGGAGAATTTTCACCCGGCCACTGGAGAATCTGAGAGTAACGTTGTCCACCGGGGGTGGCCTGTGTCCTGCAGGGAGCCCTGCCACGCTTGGGCATCGGTGGGAGGTGTGCTGGCAGACAAGGCAGGATCCCAAGGGTCAGCAGCCAAGGCTATCTGTCAATGGTGCTCCTGCAGGAGAACGGCGGGCCACCCCCCACCGACCCACCGTTCCCTGGTTCCAGACTCCACTCAGCCCGGAAACCCCATGATCACAGCCCAGCCCCCTCGTGCACACACACACACGCATGCACGCTCCCTGCCCCGGAGCTCCTGTGCCTCCTGCTCCCATGGATCTTAGAAAAGAGACCACGTGTCTATATGCTATATCTGTATTGAGGGGCCCCCCAGGGGAGCCCCTAATCTTCGTCCTCCGCCCCTTCTGTTTCTTCACCCCCTTCTGTCGTTCCTTCCCCTTCGGTGGCCCCTGACGCTTCCATGTTCCCCTCCGGAGTAACAGAGGTTGGCATGCTGCCTGCGGACGTCTTCTTTTCACTCAAAGGCCCCCTGTCCTTGGATAACAGAGACACGGTCCTCGACAGGTCACATTTGCCCTTTAAGAACCCTGGAAGGTGCAGCATATCTCGACGTTTGGCCCACCTGACGGAGAGGGGTCACACTCAGACTTGACCATCCGCCGCTCCTCCGGGTTTGGGGCCCACCCTCAGCCCCGCCCCACTTGCCAGAGCAAGCAGATGCTGGAGACCAGGAAGAGGAGGCCTCCACATGTCCAGCCCAGCGCCCACATGTGCTTTCTCCGCATGGTTTCTGCACAAAGGAGGCAGGTTTGAGACCCAGGAGTCTCAGCGGCCCTGGGGACCCAGCTTCCTGGCACTCACCATCTGGCCGCTGGTGGTAGCAGACCCCATCACGATAGCAGCACCGGAGACGCAGACACAGATTGGGGTTCTCAATTGCCGCCTGGCCCCCACAGCTCTCCCGGTCCCATACATCTCCCTCACAGCCTTGGGGCCAACCACAAGGGCACCTACGTCACAGATTCTGACCCAAAGCCCCGAACCCTAGGACCTCAAAGTCAAGCTCCTGGCCTCCTGCCGAGGGCTTACTCTGTGGAGAACCCAGGAGTCCAGGCTGGCAGCCCCCTCCTCCCTCAGACCCAGGAGTCCAGACCCCCAGCCCCCCCTCCCCCAACCCCAGGAGTCCAGACCCCCAGCCCCTCCTCCCTCAATACCAGGAGTCCAGACCCCTAGCCCCCTCCTCCCTCAGACCCAGGAGCCCAGACCCCCAGCCCCCTCCTCCCTCAGACCCAGGAGTCTGGGTCCCCAGCCCTCTTGGCTCAGACCCAGGATCAGGCCCCCAGCCCATTCTCCCTTTAGACCCATGGAGTCTAGTCTCCCAGGAGTCTGGGCTCCCTGTCCTTGGGGGACCAGGTTTCAGCCACTGCTCACTCCATGGATAGAAGAATCCCTGGATCCCATTCCCGTCTGCGGAGAAAAAGAGTCGGTGTTAGAGGGGCTATAAGGAGGCTGAAGAGGCTCCGTGCTCAGCTCTCTGACCCTCCCTTCAGCCCCCTCACCTGAGCCCTGCATCAGCAGGAAGAGGCTCAAAGCGGGGATCCCAGAGCCCACCATGTTGCCTCCCCAGACCCTTGGGGCCTCTGTGGGGACAGACCTTGAAGGCCAGCACCCCAGCAACCAGTGGGGCCCCGCCCACCTGCCCACCCCGCTTTCCAGGTTCCAAGTTCTGTTGCTAGGGAGCCCCCTTAGCCGTGAGGAAGGAGGAAGGGGGGTCACACTGGCCTGGTCATGCCTGGTTGGTAGGAAGTGGCTTCCTTAGCAACCAGGTTGAAGGGCCCACAGGGGTGGGGGCCAGCCAACCTGGGCAGAAAGTAGGTGGGGGTCTAAGGCACCTCCTGCCTGCCAACCAGGGGACCCCAAGCCACGGGGCCTGGGAGACCTTCCTGCCAGGGAATCCCTCTGCTTGGTAACCTGATGCCTGCAGGGCAGCCCCAGGTGGCCCAAAGTCTCCAGAGATGTCGTTGCCAGGGGTCTTCCCCCTAGCAACCAGGGGCAGGAGCCCTGAGGCTCACTGAGCCCCATTGTTAGGGAGGGCCCCCCCAACAACCAGGTGGCCCAGGAGGACAAGGGGAAAATGGGGGTTGGGCCAGAGGCCAGAGCACTTGCTCGGGAGTCCTCTTGTTCCCAGGGCTCTCCAGGCCTCCCAGTGGAGAACGGATGGGGAACGTGTAAGGGCCATGAGGATGTGCGGGCCCTGAGTGTGGCTCGTGGGGAGGAAGACCCTTCTCCTCAGGCCTCGGTCTCTCCACCCACAAATGGGGAAAGGGGTCCATGTGGAGGTCCTCAAGTTTCCCATTTGGCTCCCCTCAGTGGTGGAGGAGCCCAGTGGAGGGCTGGGCTGGGACCATGATCCCTAGTTCTCTCAGGTGACCCTCCACTCAGCTTTGCAATACAGTGAGGAGGGAGCCTCCTGGGGCAGTGTGGCTTTGGGGCCTGGACTCCGGGGTCTGAGGGAGGAGGGGCTGGGGGTCTGGACCCAAGTCCGAGGGAGGAGGTGGCTGAGGGCCCAGATTCCTGGGGCTGAGGAAAGAGAGGCTGGAGGTCTGGACTCCA